TTATTTCATCTTGAAATCTGAAGCTTAGTTTTGGTGGATACAAGATTATTGGCTGAAACCCATTATCTTTCAGAGTTTGAAATGTGTTGTTCCAGGATCTTCTAGCTTTTAGGGTCTGTGTTGAAAAATCTGCTGTTATCCTAATTTGTTTACCCCTATATATAACCTGATTCCTTCTCTTGTGGCTTTTAAAATTCTCTCCTTATTCTGTATCTTGGGCATTTTTATTATGATGTGTCTTGATGTAGATCCATTGTGCTTTTGCACATTTGGCATCCTGTAGGTTTCTTCAATTTGAATTTCCACTTCATTCTTCATGTCTGGAAGGTTTTCTGATACTATTTAATTGAACAGATTTCTCATTCCTCTATGCCTTTCTCTATCCCAATAACTCATAAATTTGGTCTTTTTATGCTATCTCATATTTCTTGGATGTTCTGCTCGTGGTTTCTTATCATTTTCGCTGTACTAAGTTCTTTTCAAGATTATATACTTTGTCTTCATTGTCTGATGTCCTATCTTCTAAGTTGTCTACTCTGCTGGTGATGCTTTCATTTATGTTTTTAATTTGGTTTATTATTTCTTTTATTTCAAGGATTTCTGTTTGTTTGTTTTTTATAACCTCTATCTCCCTGTAGAGGTGATCTTTTGCTTCTTGGATTTGTTTATGTACCTCATTGTCAAAGTGATCTTTCACTATCTGTATTGTTTTCTGATGTATTGTTTGGGATTCCAAAACATCTCATTCATGTAAATCCTGAAATCTTTCTCTGTCATTTTTTCTGCTATTTCTGTTAATTCTTCTCATGTGTGTTGTCTTGAATTGTTTGTGGTACTTTCTTCCCTTTTTCTTTTCATGGTGCTTGTGGTTTTTTCCCACTCTGTGGGATTGGTGTGTTATTGTTTTTACCCTATAGATTTGTAGTGCTCTTGTATACAGTCAAGATCCTATTTCGTGTGTGTGTGTGTGTGTGTGTGTATGTGGGGAAGGAGAATGTTGACAGTCCCCAAAACCAACAATACATCACCTGTGAGTAAATAATTATTATTAGGACATTTATAGTTAGTCTCAATGTCTAGAAATGTTGGATTCAATTATTATTTAAAATATAATCAGTAGTTTCATAAAAGTTGTACCATTTCTGGTGGCAGATAGAGAACTGGGGGTCAGATGTATTATGTTATGTTAAGGAGGAAAGATGTGAGGGTATGTGGTTAATATAACATAGGAAATTTGGAGGAGAACTCTAATAAAGTTGGTTAGTACCAAGGGAATAGACAGGAGGTCATGTAGGGCACACAAGTACATGGGAGGACAGTAGAATGCATAAAAACAAACACATATATGTATTTAAAAAATTACTTGAAGTAAAAATAGTAAAAATTAGGAGTTTGAACGAGGAAGAGAGGGAGGAAGAAAAATAAAAAGGAAATAAAGAAAGAGAAAAAAGAGAGAGAGAAAATGGGGGGGCTTATGCAATTTCTCTATATTATATTATTCTGGTGTCTCATTTCTTAAAATTCTATTATATGCAAATTTCTTGCTTTCACATATGTTGGGGTTGTGAGGGCCAGAGGAAGAAGGGTAGAGGAGAATGGAAGGGGATAAAGTGGAAGAGAAGAAAACAAACAAACAAAATACCACACAAAAAAACAAACAACAACAACAAAAATACTCTTACAGTCCCATTTTCTTCTTTTCTCTTCCAGTAGGTGGAGTTGTGTATTCCAAGCTTGAGTCTCTGCCCTCAGGGTGGTGTAAGTAACCAATGTGAGAAGACTAGAGCTCTCCCTCTCTTGTCTGGAGCTTCCCTAATGTTGGTCACTCTGAATTGCTCTGGGTTTTTAGACCCCTTCCCTCGGTTGCTTATCAGGTCTCAGCTGCAGGACCTCTGACCCCTGGATTGCACCAGATGGGTAATGCCCTTGTTGCACTGCACTCCTGTTCAACTGAGAGTTGTTTTTGTGCTGGATAGTCACTGTACCTGGTTATCACAATTGGGGCAAGGGGGAGTTAGAAACCAGGTACCTGTTCAGTCAAAGATCCACGCTGATAGCCACACTCACCAAAAGATGGCAAGAAAGATTTTCCAAGATGGAGTCCATCTGTTTTCCCATCAGGGTGTCTGGTGATGTGTGGATCGGAAGAGCGGGGGGGGAGGGGAGCTGGGATGTCTTTGTACTGTGGTTAGAATGTGGTATGGTGACCTGTGAGGGAGCAGAGCCTAGTCTGGAGTTCTGCTGCTCTGCCCAGGTGCTGATTTGGTGTTTTTGCTCCACTGCTTAAGAGTCCTGTGGGTGCTTAAACTGTGAGCTTTGAGAGGGAAGTCTGGATTCTTACCAAACACAGAGGCTCTGAGTTCTGCTGGTGATCGCAGCCCTGGTGGATTCTGGGAAAATCTGCTGTATAGGGTCCTGTCACACACTCTGAGATGTTGTATTTCGTCAAGGTGAGACCCCATGGAGAAGCTGCCTGATAGTTTTCTCAGATTCATGCACAGAGCAGCCAGAAATGGTATCTCCTCTACTCTGCCATCTTGGATCCGCCACTTGGGGCTAGTTTTTAATGTCATAGTTTAGGTATGAGATGTCCCCTAAAAGTACATATTTGAGACAATGTAAGAATTTTCAGAGTGAAATAATCAGATTGTGAGAGTTGTAACTTATTCAGTGATTTAATCATTCATGGATGAACTGGGCAGTTAACTGTAGGTCGACAGGCTATAGCTAGAGGCCATGCTCATGAGATTTGTGTTTCACCCCTGGTGAGCATAACTTTATCTCTGCTTTTTTATTTCATGTCCTGAGTTGATTTCCTCTGCCATGCCTTCCTCCCTTGGGTCCAGAGCTATGGAATCAGATGACCACTGAAGGAAACTTCTTAAAATACAAAACCTAAATAAACTTTCTTCCTTTACATTGTTCTTGTCAGTTTTTCTGGTCACAACAATAAAAGTGTACAAAAATTGTCACCTTTGTGTAAACTGCCTCTCTTTTATGACATCATAATTATTTTGTTCAGCTCCTGGTTAAGTGTCAATGGAGACACATGGTGTCAGAAATGATTTTTCTAGAAGCAATGTATTAGCTGAGACTTAAAGAATGGTGTTTCCAGCTAAAGGGAAATAAAGGATGGGAGTATAAAAGGCTACAGTAGCAAGAGGGGAAGGAAACTATTAAAGGGGGTCTGTATTTGGCTAAAGATACAGGGATGAGGGGTAATGCCAGAGGAAAAGGCAGCTAGGTATTTTGTTTGGAATATACAGATACTAGAATCCACCAGATTTGTCAACACTAAGGAGAATCTCTGTGGTAGAATCACTTACCATGAAAAATACCTGGTTTTTATTTCAACAACAGAAATGAAAAAAAAAAATTCAAGAGGAAATAATATAAAAAAAACAAGGAAATACATCAGTAGTACACGTAAGTAACTTTGAATTTGCCATTCATAACCACTGCTTTAAAAAATAATTTTTGGTTCTCTACAAAATATAATACTGAATTTAAAGTGATGGGAAAACTGAATTATATATAATATCATTGACAGGGCTACCTGGCTGCCAAGAAAGAGCTGGCTTATTGGTCTTCCATGAAGTTACAGCAGAGGGGTGCAATTTTAGAGTGGCAGACTGGGTGGGTCAGAGCACCAGGGTGAGCACAGCTTATGGCTACATGGATCACTTCATGCAGGTGTGCAGATGGAGGTGCTGTGAGCCAAAGCATGCCAAGAAATCAGGTGGTGGCCATCTTTTGGCACAGCCTGGATGCCTGTTGCAGAACCCTGTTTCATGTGGTGCTGTATCCCAGAATCTGCAAGTATGAACCATTCAATTACCTCAACCTCCTGCTTCCTGACTTGTGATGAGAAAATGGAGGTGGGATAAAAAGGAATGAAAGTTGGACTCGAAGTTGACCAATCGTGTTAGCACTTTTCCAAAACTTTATTAGCATAAGTTTGTACTAGTAGCCTTCTTACTTTCTTGAAACACTGATTAGCATAATTTTGGACCAACAGCAGTGACCCCAGTGCTATATAAAGCCATAGACCAGCATACTTAGATGAATATTTTGCTATCAGGACCCTCTCACATTGCAAGAGTTCTGCTCCTGTCACTATTCTTCAATAAATCCTATTCTTTCACTCATCCATCCTGGTCTGTGGGTTTTATTCTTCAAATTCACAGGTCAAGAACTGAGCAATAAGAAAAAACTGATGGTGAGCTGCTGGGCTCTTCTGCAACACAGAAGGGTCTTGCCCACCATTAAGAGTTGCAACACTTCTTAGCTGCAGAAGACTGCAACTTACACAGACTCCACCTGAAAGCAGAGCAGAGAAATTCCAGTCTAACCAGCCACCAGAAAAGCATGGAATTGAGTTTCACCTGAAAACTTTGGTTTCAATATGTTGTCTGATTTTTTTACAACAATCTTGATTACATTATTTATTAAGGGAACTACATATGGTATTACAGAAAGTAAAACATATATTCAATGCAATTACTCACAAGAATGGTTGTCATACTAGAAGTAAAATTATTTTTTTCAGAGATGTGTTATTCATGTTTTCCAGTCTTGACTTGAGCACCTGGGCTCCAGCAACATTTTTGTCTTAATCTCTAAGATACTGGGATTATACTTGTGCTCAGCTGTCCAGATCTCCACTAAAGATATTAAAACATTGCAAAAAACTTACAACCTAATAATAAAGTGAATCTTTGAAATGAGTCATAATTCCAATTGGGGAAACTAAACATAAAAATTACTGAGACAAAGATTATAGTTTAAAAACATATTGCTTATAAATTTCTTTTTGTTAAAAGATGGATGCTAACATAGTCATTGCTTTTTCTCTGTGTATGTGTTTAATCTTCCAAATTTTGGGGAAAAAAGATTAGTTATAGGAACCTGTATTGAAAATTTTACCTCATTTAAGTATCCTTGCACCATTCATCTCTCCAGCTTTCACTTCAGTGGTAGTCTGTATGGCTTTGGAAAGAAGTTGTTAAATATGAATATACACAACATGCAGTTAATAATTCAATAAAAGTAACAAGTGCACTTAACCTCCCAGTAAGCATGTATCTCATGATACTAAAAAGAAAAGGGATATAATCAGAATGTATGGGACAAAACCAAACATACATTCCTGCTGAATTAGTATGAAGCTGAATCACTGTGCTTAATTTGACAATTATTACTTTATTTTTTGCTCCTTTGTGGTTTGTACAGTCACACAATTGAAATGTACTGAAGAACACTAAAAATATAGGTTTCATAAAATATTCAGGTAAGTTTCCAAAAGTGAAATTTTGGCTCCAATGACCACAAATAAGACAGGAGCCCCACATGGTGGCATACACCTGTAATCTCAGCAGCACAAGAGGCAGAGGCAGGAGGATTGTGAGTTTCAAGCCAGCCTCAGCCACTTAGCAAGGCTCAAAGCAACTCAGTACAACCTATCTCTAACTAGAATACAAAAGAGGGCTGGGGATGAGGCTCAGTGGGTAAGCATATGATGGTACCAAATAATGATGATGATGATGATGATGATGATGATGATGATGATGATTTAATGTATTACAAAAACAAAAATTATCATGCTTAAGGAACAACTTGGGTATTCAAAACTCCTTAAAATATTCTGATTAGAAAATGAGTACTTTGGTATATCTTATTAGTCTTTCAAGAATTTTCATGAAATGACTATCTCATCAAAATATTAGTTCTCTGGGCTGGGGTTGTAGCTTAGTGGTTGAGCACTTGCCTTGCATGCATGAGGCACTGGGTTCGATCCTTAGCAAGCACCACATAAAATAAATAAATAAAACAAAGATTTTGTGTCCATCTACAAGTAAAAAAAAAATTTAAAGAAAACATTAGATCTTTCAAAGATGAGGACGTGGCTTCCTAAAAAATACTGTATTCCCAGCATGCCCAAGACCATGAGTTCAATCCTCAGAACTAACACCCCCACAAAAATTATCTATCTTTTGAACACTTAATACCAATTTGAACACTTAATACCAATGCAACAAGCATGTCCCCTTCCTGGTAATTATTAAAAGAAAAATTGACTAGCTGGCAAAATAGCCCAACTGTCCCCTTTCCCTATGCTTCCAATAATATCTTAATGAGTAATAGGTTTTCCTTTGGTTTGAATAAAAACATAATGAAGCCACCTAAAATGCAATCTCTAAAATCTTCCTTTCCTTCCTAATTTTCTATCCTTCTACCTTAAAAAAACCAACCCCTAGATATGTGGTCTTTATGCTTTGCATCCTGCTTTTTTCATCTGGTTTAATCTCAATAAGTACTTACATATAATTCAGCAATATTGTCTTAGAACTGCAATTTTTTTTATCTCCAATATTTTTGTGCTTCAACCTTGTCAAGCGACATGGTCTGAATAAAAGCAGGACTTATGCTTTGTTTTGATTGGCATAGTCCTGAACTATAATCAATGGCTCCTCCTCACTGAGATTTCCCTAAGGGGAAATCATTCCCTTGTCATCCAGTTTCATAAAACAAACACCACAAGAGATAAAGGGAGAAACAGACCCCAATAAAGTTAGTACAGGTAACTTCAGTACAACAGATGAATCAGTAACTAGCAAGAGAGTTAAATTACACTATAGATCAAATGGACTTAACAGATGGCTATATAGAATATTCCATGTGTTTTAGTCACCCTTTCCACTGCTGTGAGTAAAAGAAAACTTTTGGAAGGGGAAAAGTTTATTTGGGGGCCTTATAGTTTCAGACATCCCAGTCCATAAATAGCCAGCTCCATTCCTTGGCCAAGGTGAGGCAGAATATTGTGGTGAAAGAATGTAGCAGTGGGAAGCAGCTCAAGACCATCACACCAGGAAGCAGAGAGAGCGCTCCATTCATGAAGAATAAAATATATACACCCAAAGGCACACTGCCAGTGACCAGCTTCCCCCATCAAACCCTACCAGCCAACAGTCACCACTCAGTGAATCCCTATCAGGGCACTAATTTACTGATTGGTTAAGGCTCTCATAACCCAATCATTTCACTTCTAAACCTTCTTGCATTGTCTCACACATGAGCTTTTGGGGGACCCCTCACATCTAAACTATAATACCATGCACAAACTCCAGTATACACACTCTTTTTATCAGCGTATGGAACTTAGAAAAAGATATAGTATAAAAAGTTAAATTATCCGATTAGAAAAGCAAATCTTAAAAAAAAGTGATCAAATCATTTCTTGCATCAGGTTGAACCATAATAGAATAAAACTGAAAACAGTAAGAAAAAAAATAGAAACTGTAAAATATATGAAATTGAATGATATACTTTTAAACAAAGAGAAAGTCTTTGTTTAAAAGGCAGATTATGACTATGAGTGCCTTAATTTTTAAAAAATTAGAGATTTTTATGTCTGTAATCCTAGCAGCTCAAGAGGCTGAGGCAGGAGAATCGAGAGTTCCAATCCAGCCTCAGCAACTTAGTGAAGCACTAAGGAACTCAGCAAGACCCTGTCTCTAAATAAAATTTAAAAAGGGCTGGGGATGTGGCTCAGTGGTTAAGTGCCCCTGGGTTCAATTCCTGGCATCAAACAAAAAATAAATAATATAAATAAATAAATAGCCTAATGATACATTTCAAGATCTTAGAAAATCAAGAAGAAATCAACACTTAAATTAGTAAACATAAGGAAACAATAAAGATCAGAATTCATTAAATGACTAAAAAACAATGCAAAGGATCAATGAGAAAAAAAGTTAGCTATTTGAAAAGGTAAATAAGACTGACAAATCATCAGTCAAATTTACAAAAAGAAAGAGAATACCTAAATTTATGAAACTATATCCAAATAAAGCATGCAGCAACAGATAACCACTGAAATGCAGTTGATCATTAGAAATTATTTTGAAATATTATATTTCAATAAGTTGGAAAATATAAAAGAAATGAACAAATTTTTAGACATGAGACCCACCAAAATAGAATTGAGAGGCTTTAATAAAACCCCCCAAAATAAATATTAAGCAGTTTGAGAATATGTTAACCCCGCCCCCCCACACAATAGTATTGGATATATTTACTGATGAATTTTTAAAGACATTTAAACTAGAATTAACATTATTGCTTTTCAAAATATTCTATATAATAAAAATGGAAGGAACATTTTCAAACTCATTCAATAAAGCCAGTATTACCTTGTCACAAAAACCTGATAAGAACACATATACACACACATCAAAACAATACACTAGGCTAATATGTTCAGTGAGCATAGATGTAAAAATCTATAATAAAATAGTTACAAATTGCATCTAACAACACATTGTAAATCAATTTAGTTTTATACAAGGAATACAAGGATGGTTCAACATAAGGAGATCTAAATGTAATAAAACACATAAACAAAATCATGGATTAAAAAAATCACAGCTGCATCTCAATAGGTGCAGAAAGTGCTTTTGGTATAATTTAACATTTGTTCATGGTAAGAGAACCAAGCTAATTAGGTGTAGATGGATCTTATCTTAATAAAATAAGGACTATATGTAACAAAGCCCTAGTGATCATCATACAATGCAGGGGAAATTTGAGCAAATTTTCTTTAAAATCAGGAAAAACAGAGGATAGCCACAATCACTAACTAATATGATACTTTAAATTTTAGATACAGCAATCAGGAAAGAGAATGAAATATATGGAATACAAATAGGAAAGGAAAAAGTTAAATTATAATTTTTCAGAGTATATAATTTTATACTTGAAAGACCCTACAGACTTCACCAAATGACTATTAGAACAAATTCAGCAAAGTAACAGGAAACAAAATTCAACTTAGTAAAATCAGTAGTTTTTTCAAACTGACTAATTATAACTTTAAATAACTTAATAACTGAAAGAGCGTTTTTCTAAATTACAACATATTGAAGACATCAGGTAAGTGATTAGGAACTTTGACGATTTTAAAGCATGAAGTTTGTGGGCTGGGTTTGTGGATAATTGATAGAGCACTTGCCTTGCATGTGTGAGGCACTGGGCTCAATCCTAGGCACCACACATAAATAAATGAATAAAATAAAAGATCCTTCAACAACTAAAATAAATAAATTAATAAATAAAGTTTGCACTCGGAGGATACTGATACCTCATGTATATAGCCAGTCAATCCATAATAAGGGCCTTTGGTCTACAAACATTTGGACAGATGAAATTTCCAAAAGTTCTTTAAGTTCCCTATTTCTGAAACTATTCTACATGTATTCTATTTTTTTCAACATTTTTGCAGTCAATTCTTATAACTGTAGCTATTGGTAAATGATAAATCCAGGCACTGTACTTAATTAAGCATTTTACATATACCAATTAACTTTTTTTAAAGAGAGAGAGAGAAAGAGAGAGAGAGAGAAAGAGAAAGAGAAAGAGAGAGAGAGAGAGAGAGAGAGAGAGAGAGAGAGAATTTTTTAATATTTATTTTTTTAGTTTTCGGCGGACACAACATCTTTGTTTGTATGTGGTACTGAGGATTGAACCCGGGCTGCACGCTTGCCAGGCTAGTGCGCTACCGCTTCAGCCACATCCCCAGCACACAATTAACTTTTTATAACAATCTGAAACAAGGAATGATATAAATGTAAGCAAGTATCCAAAAGAGCATGGTGACCTGTTCATACACAGGTTTGAACTCTGTGGGTTGTCACATAGAAGAGCTATCAACTACTGGAAGTCAAGACTAAATAAAATATAGCAAAGAAAAAGGCAGAAAGTAGCAAACCTCTATCCATAACTCACTCTGGATGTAAATGTTCTCAACTTCCCAATTAAAAGACACGTATTGGTAGAATGAAAAACAAGATCCAACTGATGTTGTTTGTGAGAAACTCATCTCATATGCAAAGCCACTGTGTTAGTCAGCTTTTTTGCTGCTCTGACTAAATGACCTGACTAGCACAACTGTAGAAGAGGAAGAGTTTATTGAAGGGCTTACAGTTTTGGAAATTTTAGACCATAGAAGGCCAGATCCATTCCTTGGGGATTGAGGCAAGGCTGAATATCATGGTGGGAGAATGTTTTGAAGGGAAGCTCAAGTTATGATTAGGAAGCAGAAAGAGTCCACTTGCTGCATGCCAATATATACCCAAAGCAACTCCCCAATTTCCATGTCCTCCACCCTACCAGTTTTCAGTTACCACACAGTTAATCCCAATCAGGGGATTAAATCATGGATTGTGTTAAGACTCAATCACTTCTCTTGTCTTCTAAACCTTCTTGCACTGTATCACATATGAGCTTGTGGGAGACACCTCATATTCGAACCATGACAGACACTCATAGACTGAATGTAAACTACTAGAAAATTCCAAAAAGAAGGAGTAGCTATTCTCATCTGTCAAAGCAGATTAGAAGCAAAAATCACAAAAGACAATGAATGCTTTACATACTAGTAAAATTTCAATTCAACAAGAAAATATAACAATAGAAAGTATGTATACCCCAAATGATAGTGAACCCAATTATATTAAAACAATGCTTCTTTAAATCAGCATACTATAGTAAAGCAGCCACATCAATATTTATAGCAACTCAATTCACAATAGCTCAACTATGATATGAACCTAAATAGACGAATGTATAAAGAAATTTGGAGGATATCATGCTAAGCAAAGAAAGGCAATCCTAAAAAACCAAAGGCTGAATGTTCCCTCTGATAAGTGAATGTTGATCCTTAATGGGGGGTGGGAAGGTGCATGGGAAAAATGGAAGAATTTTGGGCAAATGGGAGGAAGGGAAGGTGAGGGGGCATGGGGATATGATATGGACATCATCACCCTAGGTACATGTATGACTGCACCTATGGTGCAATGCTACATCACGTACAACCAGAGAAATGAAAAGTCATGCTGCAATTGTGTACAATTAATTAAAATACATTCTGTTGTCATATATACCTAAATAAATAAAAAAACAATGCTTCTTAACATTAAATATCATAATAACACTAGGGAATTTCAAAACATCCTTGTCACCCATAGACAGGACATATAAGGGTAAAAAATAGACATTTCGACCTAAATAATAGTATAATTGAAATATACCTAATAACTACAGAATATTTCACCACAAAATAGCTGAATTCACTATCTTCCCAGCAGTGCATGGAACCTTTTTCAAAATAAACCATATTCTACATCACAATGTAATTCATTGCAAATATATAAAAAAACTCATATAATACTATGCATTCTATCAGATCATAATGAAATGAAACTAGAAGTCAATAGCAAGAAAAATAAGAGAGATCACATAAACAGAACAAAATACTCTTTTAAAAGTTGAGTAGATTATAAAAGAAAAGAAAGAATAAACAAAGAAATATTTAGAAACAAATCAGAACAGAAATACAACATATCAAAATCTCTGGGACATCGTGAAGTTGGCTTTGAAAAAATTCATAGTACTGAGTGCTTTCACTAACAAAATAGAAAGTTTCCAAATAAATAATCTAATGTTCCAACTTTCAAGGTCTTAGAAAAGGAAGAACAAACTAATTCCCAAATAAGTAGCATATAGGAAATAATCAAGATTAGACTAAAATTAATTGAGAATGAAAACTACATAGGATCAATGAGACAAAGTCAGCTTTTTCAAAAGATAAATAAGGTCAATAAACCATTAGGCAAACTGACAAAAGAAGAGACAAATCAATAAATTTGTGGATGAAAAATGAGATAGCATTAACAATATTTCTGAAACTCAGAGGATTATTAGGAACTATTTTTAAAGTTTGTACTGTAATAAACTGGAAGATCTAGAAACCTTGACAAATTTCTAGACATATATGTCCTGCCAAAATTACACCAGGAAGACATCAGAACCCTAAACAGATCAATATAAAGTAATGAAATGGAAACAGTAATGAATAGCCTTCCAACAAAGAAATATCCAGGACCAGATAGAATCCTGCCTGAGTTCTAACAGAACTTTAGTGAAGAACTAACACCAATCTTTGTCAACCTCTTCTACAAAACTTAAAGGAAGGGAATGCTCTCAAATATCTATGGAGCTAGTATAATCCTGACATATTCAGGAAAGATGCTACAGAACAATATCCCTGATGAACATACATGTAAAAACCCTTAAAGAAATATTAGCAAACGACATTCAAAAACACATCAAAAAGTTAACATACCATGAAAAAGTTGCTTTTATCCCAGGAATGTAAGGTTGGTTCAACATAGGCAAATCAAAAAATTTAATTCATAAATAGAATGAAGGATGAAAATCATATGAATATCTCAACAGATGCAGAAAAGGCTTTGATAAAAATTTAGCACCTGCTCATATTAAAAATGTTAGAGAAACTAGGCATAGAGAAAACTTACTACAACATTATAAAGGTTATATATCACAAAACCAAAGCCAACATTATACTGTAGAAAAAAAATGGAAAGCATTTTCTCTAAAATCAGGATCAAAGAAAAGATGTCTAATTTTATCAATCCT